TATGAATTATTTTCACTGCTTGTTTAGGTAACGAATACATTGGGAATAAGGAGGCCGCTATTGAAAATCAAGGCGAATCATTGTTTGATTCGAAGAAAACTGGTGGGGAAAAGCGAAAGAGACAAGCCAATTTCGATCCCTCCGACGTTGAAGGATATACGGGTTTGAATTAGCTTTTTAGAAGTGATTTTGCATTCGATTGAAAAATTGTTCTAGGTCCTTGGGCTAAATATTGTGATGAGAAAACGATAGCCAAACCAGACCCTGAACTACAAAAAGAAATGGACGAAATCGTAAGAAAGGTTGGTGTATTAATATATAGGCCGAATCGTTTTAACCAGAAATATTGAATTTAAGCGACAAGCCAACAGCCGTCGGTTTAAACGAAAGCAACAACAACAACAGGGTGATAACGCTGAGGAGTCCTCTGTATTGCATTGTACGTTGCTATGTTGTTGTATATCATCAGCAATAATTAAGGCGTGATTTTCATTTCAGTGAAAGAAGCCCAAGATTATCAAGGACGTTCGTTCCTTGTGCCCCCTGCATTTACTGGTGTTAACTTGCGAGCAGATGCCACCCCAGAAAAGTGAGTTCTTCATTTCCATGCCTTCTTAGCTGCTCGGTGTAATATGAGCCCTTCAGATGCTTTATTCCTAAAAAGCAAATTCATGTCTACAAAGGACACACCAAAGGAGTCAACTGTATTCAGTGGTTCCCAAAAAGTGCTCATCTCTTCCTGTCCTGCTCCATGGATACTAAGGTACGTTTGCCATTGTACATAAACTCCGCCTCATAGTTCGATTTTTCTTTTTTAGATCAAACTCTGGGAAGTTTATGGAAAACACCAAGTTGTTCGCACTTATTCTGGCCACAAACTTCCTGTGCGAGAGGTTGCATTCAACAATGAAGGGACAGAGTTCTTGTCCGCGAGTTTCGATAGATATATCAAGTTATGGGACACGGAAACAGGCCAGGTAAGAGGAACGGACACCCCCTGCGAACGTTAGAAAGACCGAAACGCCCTTCTATACTTCATTTTATATTTCTTGAAGAGTCTTCAACGGGCGTTTTTGTCATGTTTTTCCCTTCAGGTTAAGCAGCGCTTCCACACGGGTCATATTCCGTTTTGCGTTAAATTCCATCCAGATGATGACAAAAATCATATGTTCCTTTCTGGGATGCAGAACAAGAAAATTGTCCAGTGGGATACACGAACGGGAGAGATTGTACAGGTAAGTACCTCTATGTTTCCGTCAATCGTGAGAGTTTCATTTATTTTGTCCCTCTGGAGTTGGATCCCTAATGGAAGGCTCCGAATGCGACTAGTATGGCTTTTTCTTTCTCGTGGTAATGCGAGATTGCTTACTTCTGCACTTGACAAATTGTGATTGAAAGTTTTGTATCATCCATGTATAAAGTGCAACAACGGAAAAAATGGGAGGGAAAAAGGTATACGATACTGTCATGCAACATGGAAACAAGTAGATTAAGTTTTTTGCTGAGAAGCAGTGCAGTGTACGTAATGTTATTATAAGATCGTGTAGTACGATACAAAATTCTGTGCTAAACCTCGAACAGAGCGTGTTCTTTTTCTTATAAAAAGTTTGTCTCCCTCCATTACGAATTCACAACGAATGTCCAAAAAACATGTTTCCAGGAATACGATCGCCATCTAGGCGCTGTGAATTCCATTACGTTTTTCGATAAAAATCGACGATTTGCTTCTACGTCTGACGATAAATCGATAAGAATATGGGAATGGGAAATTCCCGTCGACACTAAACTCATTCAGAATGTAGGCTTGCACTCTATACCCACAATGAATAAGAGCCCTAATGGTGAGTTTGAAAACAATCAAAAAATTTCAATTCCATGACAGCAACTCAACATCTATTAGTGAGCTGAAAATTTCAGAAAAATGGGTGGTTGGTCAATCAATGGACAATCGAATTGTGTTGTTCCAACTTATTGACGATAAACTGCGATTTGCGAAGAAAAAAGCCTTCAGAGGACACAACTCGGCAGGCTATGCCTGTGTTACTGATTTCAGCCCTGATATGAGGTGAGTGAGGTTGTTTAGAAGTCCAGCCGTTCCCGTGGCACAATGATGAGTTTTTCAGCTACCTAATTAGCGGAGATGCTGATGGTAAGCTTTTCATTTGGGACTGGCGGACACATAAGATTGTGGCCAGATGGAAAGCTCATGACAGCACTTGCATTTCGGCCCGATGGCATCCGAAGGAGAAGAGTAAAATTCTGACAGCAGGATGGGATACAGTGATTAAAATGTGGGCATGAGGCTCATTATTCATTGGATTCAGCTCCCGAAGTTTTCCTGCTTACGGCTGGCAAATTTATTTATGCACCTTAAGATTTGCATTTATGTCGTGGTAAATTTTAATTAACGATATTATCTCATCCCGGCAGATAAGGCCATGTTGCGTGTTGATCTTCGCCACCCTGCCAGTTACCCTTCACGCGCGTAAGTGGGTGATTTGATCGAAAGAAAATAATTGAGATCATAGCGACTCAGGGGCCATAGCGATGTCGCCATCAGCTAGATTGAATGACTTTTTCAATCACGTCAGTGGAAGAAGGCCTTTTGCTTCTTGTGCTTCTCGAGACGACCTTTTATGTTTGTACCTAAAATGGGATGTGTAATTGAGCTTGTATCATTGAGCACTACCTGAGTTCCTTGTCTCATGTACGTCTCTGTTGTTGTTGTTGTTGTAAAAAAAATTCGTCGTCAGTACATCGCCTCCCTGTCGTGTGGAGAGTGTCTCTATAGTTGTGTTTCGCTTCTTTTACCTCTTATTATTAATCCACATTTCGCACTTATGTATCGGGTAGAGTTGAGCCGATTTCTACTTCATTCTTTCTCAGTAATATCTCGTTAACAAAACCCCTTTAGTTTGTTTATTTATTTATTTTGTGTTGTAAACGCTTATGTATGGATATCTATAATACTTTATCATTACAGTTTCGAATTGCCGAATAAAAACTTTTGATTCGAATTGTTTTTCCATACATGCTTGCGGTTCGATCCCGTATATCTCATTCGTCTGTGTAGCAACGAACGATTAGTACTGTAGTGCTTCTGTCACGTCAATTTAACTCTTTTAGGCGATGTCGTCGTCTTCACGCTGGTCACTTTTTCAATTGCGGCGGCTTAGTTCAGCGATTACAAATGGGGAAGCAATGAAGGGTCGATTCCAACAGTGGAAGAAACCGTGGGTGTCGTTTTCAAATTATATTCATGAGTTTCTCATTACTTTTCCATGATCATGCTGCTTTGAGGGTATATTATGCGCCACATATACATCCACTCGAAAGAGGACCTGATTTTTCTCATGCTGGTACGTTTACTGGGTTTTTTGAGTGTACCGTTGAGCTTCAATCGACTATTTATGTATAATATGTATTCAGACGGACGGATCATTCATGTGACTTCCAAAATTCAACTGGAGTACAAACAAGACCAATTGCGGTTAGCGGTAAGGCTATTTATTGGTTCAAAGAAAAAGTTCGAGAGAAATTAGCAGCCTCCCAATAGTTGCGGAAGCAGAAGAAGTTTTTTATGTGATATTTAAGAAGAAAATTGTCAAGCTGCTGGGTGAAATAGATGCAATGGAGGCGGCTCACAAACAAGCAGAAAGTCGAAGAATCTCGGAAGCTCACGAACGTGAGGCTCTTCGACCGAAGGCCAAGGGCACGAGGAGTATAACCTAGATTTGACAGCTCGATGTACAAAAGATTCTTTATTTAGTCATGAATTAAATTTTTTTGATCAATGTCACCGAATGTAATTTAGCTGATCAGGGATAACTGTTTCATCAAATGATTCAACATTTGATGAAAATCTGATCGAAATCATCCTGAGATACAAATATCTATAAATGATTCCGATAAATAAATCACCAAATTCGAATAAGGAGTGGTCTCAGTGGTGTAGCGGATAAGCGTTTTGTTCGGAAAGAATACGCACAGGTTCGGGTCCCTTTGAAAATCCTGTACGACTTGATATCTTAGTATTTTCATGCAGCTTTAATTTCATCAACAAAGTAGAGCGGCTCAGAAACTTGCGACTTCTTTTTCATGAGTACGGTGCTACCAAACACATTGGTTTGTTTTAGAAGCTTTTGAATTCCAAAACGGTTCAAGAGTCCAGCATGTGAACGTTCATAGATGTCTTCCTAGGAGTAATTGTACGTGGCAATCTGTTTAGAGGGAGTTAAGTAACAAACCCGATGAAGCGATGAAGGCCATGCTATCAAAAATACGGCTATTGTGCTTCTTTTCCTTTTATCCTGTTGCTTTCAATTGGAGAATTGGAGTTCATGGGACTTTTTCAACTGAGTCCTCCTGACTGTCCTGTGAAAGAAAAAATGGAGGAAGCAAAATGCTAACTTCGTCGCAGTCTAGGAAATCCTCCCCCTCTTTTCGCGGTGTTGGACGAGGCTCCGCCGTCACCCTAGTAATAGATCGGAGTGGTTTTAGTGAATGTGGGAAACAAACTCAATGACACATGAAATGTGACCATAATTCGTCACATGGGAAATCATGGGACGTCTAGGAAGTCGAACAGCAACTCCAAGATGGAACGCTTCCTAGTATTTCAATGACGCAAAGGAGAGTTATTTAATATTATTCCGGCGGATTTCCTATCTCATAGGCAAAGAAGCTGTAGTACCAATTCTTCTCACACCTACTAGCATTATCAACTGAATCATTTGTAAGCGATTATGTTCCAGTAGGAGTACTTTTGAAACCTATTAATTAGTCCCCTATGACGAGTGCTTTTACTTGTGAGAGATTCAAGAGCCACGCACTTTACCGCGATGTATTTTTCGTAGTTATAGACTATTCATAAGTGCTCGCATCCTTGACATTTCAGAAGAAGTCTGGGTTGTTACCTTCTCCGTGTTAGTCATTAGTAGCTCAGGAAATTTCAAAGTTAAGTGGTACTGAGTTCGGAGGTTGTGCCAAGCTTCTTGATAATTCTTTTCAAAATTAATCGAGATGATTCAAACAAATGCTGGATAACCAAATTCCAGCCCCCATGTCATATATGACCTTTGCTTACAATGAGTTCGAGATTCGTAATGACGTGAAGAATGATGGTTCAGAAGGATGTCTAGTGCGAAATCCATGCGAAATTTTTGTCCTCACAACCAACTTTGGCTTCGACTTGATGTTTTGTTAACTGCTATTATGTCTCCGCAGTTCGCGATCCGAACGTCTCACACGGTTAGCGAGTTAGGGGTAATACATCGGCCTCGGACGCGACTTGAACCCGTACTGCTTGGTGAACGTTTTGGCTTCAGTCGTCCAACCAACAAAGTGAAACTAATGTTTTTGGTGTGTAGGAAACTGGAGCTTATTAAGGGCATGTGGCACATTTGCCGTAGGTCACCTATATTGAGTCTTATGGTGGCATGCAAAGTTGAGGTCCATCATTACTATTGCCATAGGAAGTTCACCGAAATAAACTTCACTCCTCTGCATTGGCATATTTTGCTGGATAGATTATATTAATGGCTCGTCGGTGCTTCACATGGTGTCCTTCTCGGAGTTTTAAGCCGAAATTTGTTAATAAAGGGGTATATGAGCTGTAGAACATTCCTTCACTTTGCCAAAACAACTCAGGATCGCGTTAAGACTTCTTCACGCATAGATATTAAAAGAGCTGGCTTTCTTTGCAAGCCGAACCCTCAGAAGTAGTTTTCGCATAACCCGGTCCTTGTCGAATTTGCTTGAGTGAGTATGACCTCTTCCGGCTCATTTGCGACCTTTTGAACTTCATAGGTATTTCCTGCTGTGTTCATAGAATTAGTAATTCAATAATATTATAGCAGATGTGAACTGAGTTTTTCTTCCGAATACACAAAACGACTAGTAAGTATGCAAGATCTAAGCCTACAGCTGGATGAACAGCTTTGACCCAGTAGAATGTCATAATTAGGGTAACTAGGTGTGTTTCAATCCCTTAACACTCGGAATAGACCTTGTTTTGGGGTAAAAGACATTTCCAGACTGTTTCAGAGAAATGTTCATAACGGCTGTAACTTTTTGACTGGCCCGCTACACATGGTACATACTGCATCCACAACGTCACTGTTGTACCCTTCCTTGAAGGATGCAGAACAGTCTTTCAAGGGCCTTAAAAGTGCAAAAATTCATAGCTTGGTCGAATTGCCTTCACTTTGTTCTGTAAGGCCATCCTAGGAGCATTTTGCTAGCTTTGCTTAGAAGTCAGCGGTTCTTACCATTTCCTTCCTTGGTGGATATAGTAGAGTCCCCTATAGGCCTTAAGAGTGCAGAAATCTACAACTTTGATGACACACACTTCGCTTAGCAGTGCCACTCTTGGAGTATCTGGCTCGTACCCGTGCATTAGCCGTTGACAGCGGTTCGAAACAGATCTCTCGGAGGGTAATGCAAAAATCTAAAACTTGGATGAATTGCTCATACCTTGCTTGGCGTCATCGTATCATCTGTGGAGAATCTAAGTCGTGCTACTACATCAAACTTTAACGGCTACACATAGACAAAGATTTATAACGGACATGAGTCTCTTTGGCAACAGGTTCAAGAAGTATGACTTACTAGGCAATCTATGACGACCATGGCGACCACTGCTATGAACTCAAACAAAAGAACAAATGAAATGAAGGTTCACTAGAAAAGGATGACTATTCCACAAACAGAATACGCCCACTCATAGATACTAGTAATAAATGTTTCATATGTAAAAGGTTTTTTTCTCATGTACGGCTTGACAACGATAACAATCAGATGATTTATACGTGACCGGTATCAGTGCATATACATGAGACATTCTGATGTTAATTTAGCAAGCTGTCCCTTCGGGTGGTCCATCATGACAGACAGTAGAGGAGAGAGAGATGTGAATCAGGCTAATGTGTGTGGTGCTAAAATGAAAAGAATTAGGCTTGTCATAGCCCTGGCTATGCTTCATTTCACACAGTTTATTGAAATCTTCGTTATCCACCCAGCAGCCGTACTCGTGAGGGTTTCCATCTTTGAATGAGAGTCAAAATTAAAGTATTCTAGACCATGATTTCCTGGCAGTACTGCTTTATCACCTCAGTGACTTATAGTGCCATTGAGGTACCCTCCCTCGTCCCCATCCACCCCCTCTTATATTACCTTCGCTAAATCCTTAATTAGAAAAGTTCATTTTTCAGGTGTTTTCGGGTCTCTATTCAATTTTTTGGGAGAAAGTATAGCTGAGCTGCTCCTATAAAGGGACTAGGGAGACCTCTAGGGTGAATTTTCTCTTCTTCTAAGTTTTCATGACTTCTGAAGACTACAATCCACAGATACTCTTATACCGTATACAGCTCCGACAGATTTTGCCGTCTCCCTCTCGTACGCTCCACTTCAGTGAAGTTCTGACCGATTAAGAAGCTAGAAATGGGCCTGCCACAAGATTAAGTGCGTCGTGGTTCTTTACGGAGCCAACTAAGAACCCCAAATATGTAGTGCAGAACGACTATTCACTGAAGACTTGTCTTCCCAGAGTACATGAACATGACAATGATTTATTTCTGCATTTCCATCATCTCCTTTAATAAGGCTTCAGGTTCCATACATATCAATCATGGAGCCAA